AGAAAACCCTGCTGGGCGGGCCGGCCCATGGCTCACTCGGGAGAGTGTGGTGCTGATAACACCAAGGCCACGGGTTCGGATCCCATATAGGGATGGCCGGTTAGCTCACTGGGTGAGCGTGATGCTGACAACACCAAGTCAAGGGTTAAGATCCCCTTACCGGTCATCTTTTAAAAAAAAAAAAGAAAGAAAAACGAAAACCCTGCTGGGGTAGAGGCCCTGTGGTGCCCAGCTTGGGAAATCCAGTCGGCTACACATCTCCAAGTGCACATGGGAACACCAAGAACCACCCCCAAACCGCTGCCCCATCCTTCCAGTCGCTCAGGCAAAGGTCTTACTCAATCTTGACATCTTTCTTTTAAACCCCATCCATCCCATTAGCAATCCAGTTGGCTCTGCCTTCCAAGTTCCCAGGATGTGACCACTCCCACCCCCTAGTCCAAGCCACCATCTTCCCTCCCTGGAATATTCCAGCAGCCTGTCAGCTGGTGTCCCTGCATATGCCTTGGCCCTTAGATCTGTTTTCAAACGGCATCCAGAGGGATCCTATGAGAAACTCCATCACACCAGGTCCCTCTCTGCTCAAAACCCTCCAATGGCTCCCTGTGACCCTCAGAGTAAAAGCCGAAGTCCTCGCCATGATGCAGAGCTGTCCCACAACGCCCCAGAACACTAAGCACGTCCCTGCCTCGGGGCCTTTGCACACACAGGTCTCCTTCAGGTCTGTCTTCAATGAGCACACCAAAACCCTCCCTGCTTTGTTTTCTCTACTACTATGTGACTTATACATTATTGCAGATTCAACTTGTAGTCAAAATACATATTCTATACACTAGAATATAAGGAGATTTTACAGACGGTTTCACAAGACTAAGGGTTTGGTCTGTTTTGTTCAAGGCTGTGGGCCCAGAACCTAGAACAGCTCCTGGCTTAATAAATGTTTGTGAAGTGAGTAAATGAATAGCAGAAATGCCATGGGTGGACCCAGGCACCTGCCCCTTACCTGGCCACCATGCTGGGAAGAAGCCTGGGCCATGCAAAAGCTTCAGCCCAGAGCTGGCATCAACAGCCACACCTGAGAGAGAAGCCACCCGCCCTGCCATTATCTGACTGCAACTGCAGGAAGACCCCCAGGAAAATGCCCCAGCCTTGGGGGGAGGGGAAATAAGGGGAGGATTTCTGTTGCTCTGAGCCACCAAGCTTCAGGGTGACTTGATCTGCAGTCACAGTAGGAGGAACCAGGTGCTGTGAGCACGTCCCTGTGTACAGCAGGCAGTGTTGCGAGGGCGTTTTCTTTCCTTCCTCCAGACACAGCTGGGTCCTAACCACCCTTCATGGACTCACAGGGGACCATAGAGCCAGCAGAGGCCCAATTCACAGCTGGGAATAAAGAGGCCCAGAGAGAGCACACTTTGCCGCAGGCTCACAGCACCCTGAAGATGCCTGGGAGCTGGGCGGTTGCAGGCGGGCCTGACTGCAGCTCCTGTCACGCGTGCAGATCCTGGCTTGGCTGAGTCGTGGAGGATGCCTGCTCAGTGTCCTTGGGATTCTGGCGTGGGGTATGGGGCCGCCCCATGTCCTCACTCACCTGGTGCAGGGGCAGTCAGGAGACACTATTTTAAGCATGACCCTTGGTGCTTGACCTTCAGGGTTCTGCTCCCAGCTCCATTACTTGATAAACACCTGCTCCTCCCCTGGCCCTAATTTCCTCATCTGGAAAATCAAAGTGACCACCTTCCCTGCCTTTAGGGTGTTGCAAGGATTCAAAGGAGTTTGTGTTTGTAAAGCATAGAGCCAGTACTGGAATTCTAGCTATCATTGTGATCATTCTGTGGGTGATCTGAGTTCCCTGGGGCCCCTGAGCCCCCATGGTCTGCTGCCCACAGGGCTTCTCAAGGAGCCCGGGGAGGGATGGAGGGGGAGTCGGAATCTGGCTCTGATCCCTTCCGCGGTGCATCGGCTGTGCTGACTGAATGCTTGTGTCACCCCCAATCCATATGCTGAAGCCCTGACCCCCCATGGGATGGCATGAGGGTGGGGATCCTGTGATGGGATGAAGGGACCAGAGCTCTCTCTCAGCCACATGAGGACACAGCGGGAAGATAGTGTCTGTGAGCCAGGAAGAGGCCCCTCCCCATGAACATGACCCTGCCAGCACCCCAATCTCAGACTCCCAGCCTTCAGAACTGTGAGAAACAAATGTCTGTTGTTTAAGCTTCCCATCTATTTTGTTATAGCTGCCCAAGCTGAGAAAGACACTGTGCCTCAGTTTCCCCACATGTAAAATGGGAGCCAGAGTGGATGCATTCTGATCCCTGAGGTCTCTGGGTAGATGCATTTTCTGAGCTTGACACACACACACACATGCGGGTATGCGAGTTTGCCCACAAGGCTGGGTCACGAGGAGGCCAACCAGCAATTGCACCCAGCCACGTGGCCCAATGGGACCCTGGGCCTTCCAGCTGACCTTGCGGGGGGAACCTTGGCCCTCATGGGTGTGGCATGAGTCCTCTGACCTCCTTCTTTTTTTTTTAAAAGATGATTGGTAAGGGGATCTTAACCTTGACTTGGTGTTGTCAGCGTCACGCTCTCCCAAGTGAGCTAACCGGCCATCCCTATATGGGATCCAAACCCATGGCCTTGGTGTTATCAGCACCACACTCTCCCGAGTGAGCCACGGGCTGGCCCACCTCTGACCTCCTTCTGAGGGGTCTTTCACCACAACAGCAGGCTGATGGTGCCCACAGTGGGGTGGGGTGCGGCTTCTCCAGGTCCAGCCAGCACATCCCGGGTGCACAGAGAGGTTTTGGAAATCTGTAATTCCACACAAAATCCCCAGGTGTTTAAATGGTGACACACCTAACAATGCAGGACTGCAGGCACAGTGTCATTGTGACACTCCTGCCCCTGCGGGACCTAATCGTGAGGAGGCGCCAGGCAGGCTGATGCGGAGGGAAAGACTGCAGACCCACCAGCCTGCGACCTTCACAAGAGCAAGGTCGTGGGGGCCCAGGGGAGGCTGAGGAGCTGTGCCAAGCTGAAGGGGCTCGGCTCCGCTCTGGATTGGGCCCTTCCTACCAAGGACGTTGTTGGGACACATGGAGAAATGAAAGGCATCTGAGAATTGAATGGTCTGAGGTGTCCATGTTATTTCCTGATGCCAACCTTGGGAGAACATCCTGGTTTGCAGGAAACACACAGAAAATTGGCCCAGGGTCGTCATTGTGTTCCCAAATGATCTAGGGAAAAAGGTTCTTGTACTCTACTTACAACTTTTCTGTAAATATGTATGAAATAATGTAAATACATTATTTCAAAATTTAAGAATATATGTGTATATAAAAAGATGGTGTGTCAGGCAGAGCGTGTCCAGGGGCTTGCTGGAGCTCCAGGCCTGGCATGTGTCCCCTGACGAGGCTCAGCTGCTGCTGCTTCTCCATGCTCTTGTCCCTTGGACTCTCCCTGGCTGTTTCCCCAACTCCTTGGGGGCAGGATGGGCTCCTCACTACAGGCTGCTGGTTGGTAAAGCAGGACAACACAGGGCAGAGCAGAGGGCACCCCTGATGGCAGGAGGGAGCCTCTTCCTTTCCCGCCTGGGAGGGGTGGGTGGTTTTCCCAGAGACCCCCAGTCTGTCCTGTCTGGTCTGACAGACGAGACCCCTCCCAGTTCCAGGGAGCAGACGGATGTAGGCGGTGTCTGGACGCGGTGAAGCTAGCGCAGGGCCTGGCCCGCAGCCTGCCTGGCTGTGGCAGCCACTCATCTTGGGTGTGCTCGCTGTCGCCACGTGGATACCAGGAAGTGTGAAGCACAGTGACCTCGTGAGTGTAGGTGCTTTCTCTCCTGTGCAGTGGGGACCTTTCAGTCCCTCCCTTCCCACCTGCAGGGAGTGAACCCCCAGGGGCTGGGGGTTCTGCCTCAGGACCTTTGCACCCGCTCTGTCTTCTCCCCGTCTGCTCGCTCCCTCAGATCGTTGTACCACTGGCTCCCCTCCCCCCCTCCTTGACCTGTTCATGTGCCACATGTTCGCGGGTGGAGATGTTGACACAGATGGCAGGCTTCACCTCCAGAGCTTCAGACTCAGCAGGTCCAAGGGCTCCAGGGCGGTGCTGAGAAGCTGGCTCTACAGCAGCCCTGTGAGGTCACTGCTTTGTTCACTGATGGCCACAGCAGGGAGTGCCGCTTTCTTGCTCATGGCCTGTTGCTCCCCACCCTGTGTCCTCCTCTTCCTAACTGGACCTCACTCCTGCTTCAGGGATTAGAAGCCCCCCCAGCCCCACGAAGATGTTGGTGAGTCTAAGCCGAGGTTCTCAGTCTAGGCGGCCCCACGCCCAGGACATCTGTGTTGCTGCAGTGACAGGGGTGTTAGCAGACAGGGGCCCCAAAATGTCAGGTGTCTCCCTAAGGAACACTCCCAATGTCAACAGCACCCCCAGAGAGAACAGGGGATATAGCTTCCTGTTCTCTGCCTCTCTGGGCAGGAGGGGCAGTGGCCACCATCATGCACCCGGAGCCTGGGAAGAAGAAGAGCACGTGGACAAACATGGGCCACGAATCAGCCCAGCCGGGGACGCCTCCCTCTGCTCTCCTGGTGGGTGCAGCAGGGTCCTAACGCTTGGCCACCTCAGGCTGGGCAGTCTGTGCTGCCTGGCAGACAGTGTCTGAATGATTCACCCAAGAAGGGAGACGTGTCCCCTTTGTACACCCTGCCCAGAGAACAGAATCAAGCTCGCAGCACGAAGCTGTTAGGTCAATGATTGTGAGTGCAAGGAGGTTCATTTCCCCACTTAGGGCCTCAGCAATCCCATCTGTGAAATGGGCATAACCACCCTGGGGACATGAGGGTTTTCCGCTCTGTACAGGTGAGATACTACACAGGAAGGTGTTGATGAACCAAGGGAGGAAGTGATCACTCGCAGGCCTTCCTGGAAGCCCCCCATCACCTGCAGGCCTGCCGGGTCCCTTGAGTCTCCAGAGTGTGTTACAGAGCAGAATGGAAATGTTACAAAGCAAGGAGAGGTCATGTTTGTCTGAAATGTGTCACGGAGAGACGGGTGTGGTCCCTGCTCGGGGGTTCGTCTGTCAGGGGGGCTGCCCTGAGCAAGGCAGCAGCAGGCCCATGGGGGACCTGGGACGGAAGCACCAGGGGTGGCAGTGTGCACCCACAGGGAGAGTTGGTGGTGCCAGCTCCAGAGAGGTGACTTCCTTCCAGCTCCTCTTTCCAGGCCGGTGTGCAGCTGACAGGGGAGCCCCCTCTGCTCACCAGTGCAGTTCTGAGTGGTCCAGTCACTTGCCAGCTGGCGTGGCAGCTCCCGCCCCAAGCCCTGCCTGGACAGTCTTCCTGACCCGGCCCCTTCCCTCTGCTCTCAGGTAGGTGGCCCATCCCGTCGGCAAGACTGGGTCCACTTCCATGCACCCCTTGCTCCAGGTGTGGAGGGGCAGGACACCATCCTCGCACCTCCCGACTCCTCTGTCCTTCCCCAGGCCAATGCCAGCCGTCATAGCGCCAGGGCCTGGGCTGCTGTGCACAGCAGCAGTAGTGGCAGCAGGGTGGCCAGCAGCGGGCGCGGGGCCCCCAGGGGTGGGGAGGCACGGGCAGTGCAGGAGCAGACCTCATAGCCGTCCTCAGAGCGGCTCTGGTCATGTTGTCCCGGCCGGGCAAGGGCCCCATCTGGCCTGTCCACGCCTGCTCCCTCGGAACCGTCCGCCTGCCAGTCTCCGCAGACCAGCCAGTCCCGGGCTGTGGATCTTGGGTACCCGGGCGCCACCTCCAGCTCACCGTCCACCACTTTCCAGTACTCTTGGCCATGGAAGAAGTAGGAGGCACCTGGGGAGAGGGTTGTGAACTGAGCTCCGGGCTGGGCCTGCCTCTGGCTGGGGGACAGGAGGACCAAGGGCAGCAGGAGCTGCAGGGCCTGGAGAGCCCAGAGGAAACCTCAGGTGGGTCAGAGTCTGGTCTGTAGGTGCCAACCCAGGCCTGTAGGGCTCAGGAAGAGCCTGTGGGAGGCAGGGCATGGCTCAGGTGACCTCTCAGGGTTTCTTTCCCTTTCTGGACATTCACTGAGGGCTTATTCTGTGCCAGGTGGTCTGGGTGTTGGGGACATGGCATTGAGAACAGAACAGAGGATGCCTCCTGCCTGGCACACTGACCCTGGGGCGAGGCGTGTCTGCTGTGTGTGAGAAGCAGCAGGAGGCCGGGCGGGTGGGGCTGAGGGTACGGGGTGAACAAGCCCAGAGCAGTGGGCCAGGTCGTAGGGGAGGTGGGAGCCGCTGGAGGGTCTGCAGCACAGCGCATGGGGCAGGCCCCTTGGAGCTCACTGACAGGCACTGCCGTCCTAAGCAAGTGGTGGGCTCACGTTGGCTCATGGAAGCTTCCCAATTACCCCAGTGTGACCCATATTCTACAGGTGGGGAAACTGAGGCTGCAGAACCTTGTCCCCGGCCTGGCACTCACCATCAGACCAGCGCATGGCATCATCCAGTCTGCTGGGGACGCCCCTCCACAGGGGGCTCTGGGCAGGGTAGCCAGGGTCCATGCGCCGTGTGTGGTCATCGTAGCGCCAGTACAGCTGGTCCTTAAAGAAATAAGTCCTGTCATTGTGGGCCCAGGAGAAGGCAGCATCGATGCCGCCCGGCGGGAGGCTGAAGTCGGAGATGGGCCGCGGGTATCCTTCCTCTACGTTATTGTCCTTAAACACCCAGTATCTGTCTCCTGGGGGCGAGAGAAAGAGCCATAGGCCGGGGCTCAGCCCCTTCCCAAGGGGCAGAGGCTTCAGCCCGTCCTCATCTGCCACCCCTCACCCCCCATGGCAGGGACGGTGGCTGCAACACAATCATCCATCACAATGTCAAGGAAGCCTCATGAATACATATTGAGCACCTACTATGTGCCTGCGTGGAGTCCTTCCATCTAATCATAGGCCGGTGGGCCCGGGTTCTGCTACGGCAGCCACTTCACAGATGGGGACAAGCCCCCAGCCCATGGGACGACACTCTACTCTTCTCTACCACATTACTTTCTGTATGAGGATGGACTGGGGCATCTTCATGGGCAACATAAAGCACTCGCTGAAAGGCCTAACTAGATGGGTGACATTTATACCATTGTAAGAATTTACACAGAAGCAAGACATTTAGGGACTCTTTGTTGGATAAAGGGCTTGAATAGACATTTTGCCAGAGAAGATATACAAATGGCCACCAGGCACATGGAAAGATGCTGAACATCATTAGAGAAATGCCACTCAAAGGCCAGCCTGTGGCTCACTTGGGAGAGCGTGGTGCTGACAACACCAAGTCAAGGGTTAAGATCCCCTTACCAGTCATCTTTAAAAAAAAAAAAAAAAAAGAAAGAAATGCAACTACCGTGAGATCCCACTTCACACTCACAGGGTGGCTACTACCAAAAAGCAGAACATAAGGGCGAGGAAGTGCAGAAACTGGAGGCCCTGTGCACTGTTGGTGGGAACGTGAAATGGTGCAGCCGCTGTGGAAGCAGCACCAAGGTTCCTCAAAAAATGAAAAATAGAATCACCATGTGATCCAGCAATCCCACTTCTGGGTATACATCTAAAAGAATTGAAAGATATTTGCACACCCATGTTCATATTGCATTATTCACAACAGCCAAAAGGTGGAAGCAGCCCAGGTGTCCATCACTGGAAGCATGGATCAATGAAATGTCGTCCATCCATACAATGGAACATTGTTCAGCCTTAAAAAAGGAAGTAAGTTCTGACACGTGCTACAACATGGGTGGACCTTGAGAACATTGTGCTAAGTGAAATAAGCCAGACACAAAAGGACAAATACTGCATGATTCCACTTATATGGGGTCCCTAGAGCAGTCAAATTTATAGAGACAGAAAGTAGAAGGGAAGTTGCCAGGGGCTGGAGGTAAGGAGGATGGGGAGTTGATGTTTAATGGGGACAGAGTCTCACTTTGGGAAGACGAAAAAGTTCTGGAGATGGTTGGTGGTGATGGGTGCACAACACTGAATGTACATCATACACTGAACTGTACACTTAGAAATGGTTTAAATGTTAAATTTTGTTATATATATATATTTTTACCACAGTTAAAAAAAAAACCCTTTGCCAGAGATTGGAAACAGCCGAAACGTCTGAGAGTAGAGGAGGGATTAAGGAGACGCCACAGCGGCTCGGCGGGAAGGACAGACGTGCCCGCTGCCTCCAGGCTGCAACAGGTGAGCTCCATCCAGGGACGTGAGGTGGGTGGGGACAGAAAGTGGGTAAGATGCTCACCCGGCCTAAGGTCTGTCACCATAAGTTACCTATTCACTTACATGGGGGAAACAGGAGCTTTACAGTGGAAACCACAGCAAATACCACTAGACACATGGCCTTGGAACGTTCCTGCCGAATATGCAGATCCGCCCGAAGGACGAGGGCTGGGCACCTCTAATGTGTGTGGGGAGGGAAGACACTGAAAGGCTGACGGAAAGTTCCAGAGTAAAAGAGACAAATGAAGCTAAGGGGACCCCTACACAGGGGAGGGGGCCCAGCAGAGTGGACAGCTCTCAGTGTCCTGTCAACATTCAGCTGCCCGAGTCTGGTCACCATGCTGTGGTCATGGCCCTGCTCCGAGGAGGTTTAGGAGCAATGAGCCAGGAGAAGAAAGGCAGAGATGCACACACAGAAAAGAAAGCCTGGTGATCCGGAGGACGGGGTGTGGGCATGCATGCAGTATTTTTGCAATTTTTTCAGAAATTAGAATTTTTTTTTTTCCTTTTTGTCTTTTTTCGTGACCGGCAACGGATCGCAACCCTCAGTGTTTTTTTTTTTTTTTTTTTTTACCAGCAACAGGATCACAACCCTTTTTTTTTTTTTTG